TTGTGACTGTCGCATAACTAGCATAACTATCGCGCACACTCCGTACTCGTACTGCAGAGGCGATATTGGCCACCCCAAAGTAGCACAGCCGGGATCCTGTGCGATGGAGCTATGCAGCTCTGGAGCCTCGACAGCAGAATATGATGATGATGGGCTTTCGGAAAGTGTCAGGCGGATGGAATTCAGCTGCCGCCATCGTTCCCTTTACGGATCTCGTGACTCGATGCGCTATGCGGCAGCAGCAATGGCGCAGGCACATGCGCATGCCAAAGAACGGTAAGAAGAAGGATCTGGCTGGGGAAACGGAGTGGGGAGAAGATGTGAGATGATCCTGTCTTGGCCTTGCGCCGTCCGATGCTTATTTCGGTCAATAAACGAGCCTATGAGGGAACGTGGCATTCAAGGTCGTGAGATTTGGGGTCCGGGATCAGTTGATTCGTTTGGAGCGCCCGTGTCGTTGCTACGTGCGGGAATACGAAAAGAAACCATCGTGACGGTAATGTCCGCAATTCTAGCAATTGCAATATCAAGCCTGCTGGCCCTCACCTGGTAGCAGAATTAAAACCAGGATACTCCGTGCTTGAATTTATGGGGTTTGACGTAGATCACATACCCGTGGAGAAGGTGTCAAGTGTTTCCTGCCCAGCAATAAAGAGGTTCGAAATTGAGGCAGCATCCACCGTTGCAAAAGCGCATTCCTAATACCAAGATTCTGTGTGCACCGACCCTGGCACGAGCGAGTACTACCGTGGTGCTACCAGAGTGCCGCCGGACGTAATACTAATTACCATGACAAGGCTTCCAATGAAATGCAAAAGTGTGGTGTTGACAACATCGGACGGCTGGAAAATGGACAAGCCATCCCTACCCAGGTACTTGACAAATACCTCGGAACCTTGTACATGCCGGCACAGTGGACCGCGTCTCCATATGCACATGGGCAAGTACACTCGGTGTTTCTGCGTGCTCAAGTGCACATGCAGGCACAGAAGAGCCTTGTCCGTGCACTCCCTTTCGTGAAACAAGAGGTCATCTGGATTGTTGCAACATGACGATAATCAGTCAATTGCTGCTGGGACCTGCAGCAACAAGCCACCGGCCGACTCAGGCCATTGGTATGTATGCTTCGTCCTATCGCACGAATACCACGTCATATATGCAGAAGGCTGTAGTACATTATTATATTTGGGGTCATTACGTACATACACGTCTCTGGCGGTCCCCAAGAAGCTTCTTTGGGGAACAGGGCCGTTCAAACTCACTACTGCAAGGCGACACCCACTGTGAAGGCATACCATTATCATTAAAAAAAATGGATGTTGACAGCATGCCTGTTCCTTGAAACGGCCCAAGACCGTGTGATCAGAGTTTGAGTTGGTCTCTAGATCCATTTCGGAGCGCCGACTGGACAGTAGCAGTATTCGAAAACGGCCACTACCAGCTCGGCAACATTCAAGCATCGTTCTCTCGGAAGAGCCGTTCCCGCATGGACTACGTGATTAATGCCGTCTATTGCAGAGATCTCAGGCCCTACGGATACATGCTAATACTACCAAGATGTATCCCGCGTGAGCGGCAAGATGCTCACTGCCACTGCTCCGTACTTTCACCGCAGAAGCAACAATTACGAGACCTCCACACTAATTTTATTCGGCAGAGACACGTTTGGTGAGATGGGGCATCACCTGCACAGTGGTAGTAATTGCAAGGTGCTCAAGTCTTTAAGGGCCGTCTTGGCACGGCTAATTAGCCATGCAAACTTTCTTCCCTTGAACTGGAACACTGACCAGTGTCCCAATAATGGCGCCATGCAAACAGGACAAGAATGTTTTCGGCACCCCGGATGGCATGGAGCCAAGGACACCAAGAGCTGGGCAAACAGTGGCCCACCAGACATGCACAAAACACGGAGCAGTACGGAGTACTCCGTACTAAACATTAAAGCAATATGCAGGCTGAATGCCGTCGCACCAGGACCCAGCCAAGGGACCAGATGTTTCTCTTATGCATGCTAACCAGAGGAAACAAAAAAGAAAATAGATTTTTTTTTTTCAGGGTGTAGCGTGTTTCTTTTGGCTTCTGATGGGGGCAGTTGTTTCACGATTGATCCTAGGCCTATCAGAAGAAAAAAAAGTGTTCAGCCGTTCCGAGACGGCGGCCCCTCGATGCGTTGGACCTGAGCCACTCTGTAATGATGGGAGGGAGGATTGGCTGTCACTGGTCCTCCATCCACGAGGCCGGGTCATATGGAAGGAGGGAAGGCCCCGCTTTCGGTTTTGCGGGCCAGGATCTCTGCTTTCCGCGCACCAATCATAGGGCTGTTCCTGACGCTTAACCGTTTTTGCACGACTACGGAGTATCAAGCTGCTCTTTCCCCTGAAAGACAGTGGATCAAAGCCAGGGGAAGGTGCTAGGGTGTGGAGGGAGGGCAATTCATTTACTGGCAAGACTTTCAGACGAACTTGCCCACCAGACTTTATTCTGTCATTCTGTTATCTCCACAGAGCCAGTTTCGCATGTACTAGTACATAAAGTACTAGTGCGTATTACCATTCTGGCCGCGCTGTCGGGAACGGAGCGAAAGTTAACCATGTGTGGATTACGGAGATGCTTGATTGTGTCAGCGTGAAGCTGACTGCGCAGTTGCCGGGCGAGAACAGCTGCCTTGGATTACTGCTTTACTCATCGGGGGAACCACTCTGGTCGGTACAATTGACGAGTACACCAAGGCATTGCTACTGACATGGTTTGGTGTGTTAACTGAGCTATCGAGGCACTAGATTGGTGACAGTTGGCCGTCACTCCGTAAGCACTCTCCCCCTCACGTCAACGCTGTGGATCAGAATGGCAAAGAACCCGCAGCCTTGGCGAAAAACGATTAATATTTGGACTGGATATTGCAAGTCGTGCATCCTGGGAACACTCATTCCTACTATCCATTGTAATCCTCAATACATATCCCTTGCGAGAGAACACAACCCTGTTCAGAAAACTCGACGTCACGAGGCAAGGACTTGCAGGGGCTCTTGAAAGGCTATGGATCGGAGTTGGTACGGATTAATAACACTGGTGATAGAACTGGATCATTGTTGGGGACGGGAAACTGTCCTTGGGTACAGACTGTAGGGTCGCGGAACGTTTCCAGAAGCCTCAGTATTCGGTAAAATGCAGTCCAAAGCGATAAAGCGCCCGGTACGGATGTCCCATTGCTTATCACAGTTCGACATCAAGATCAAGAAGGGCCCTTAAAGCTGGTCAGGCACCTTCCCCTCAAGCTTGGTCACTACCATTGATGTACACGAACGAGCATCCAGGCAGAACTGGAAATGCCTGTGAGAGCAGCTGACGGCCTGGCCTTGCAGGCTTGAGGATCTAATGTTCCCGACACGACACAGTCCCCAGCATAAACCTTTTTTTACAGTGAGTTACTAATGCTTGGCAGGATCCAAAGTCAGTACATGTAGTCTCATTAACGCTGAATGTCGGCGCGGGGTTCAGCTGGCACTAGGTCAGTGTTGCATCAACTAAACCATCAAAACGCGATCCAAGAGCTGCGATTTCGCGACACGGCGAATGGGAAGCAGCCATGACGGATAATACTCCGCGCTCCGTCCATCGTGTCCAACAACTACGTACATACATACATATGCTCAGCAACAGCCAGACCCGCCTGGTCCGACGCCTTGGGCACTATCTTCCAATCATTGTGGCCGATTCCGCCAAAGGCTAAAATCCTGATGACTTTGCGCTAATGATGCAATTGAAACGCGACTCTACCAATGGGATGGCCAGCCTGGGAAATATAGTATGCATAAAGTTCAGACGAGCATGCGGGGTTCAAAGTTCCATGTCCGCGGCAAAGCATATCGGGAATCGCCCACGAGGTCAAGTCCATGAACTGCTGTCCATGCCGCCGTGCAGGCAGCTAGTAATAGGAATTAAAAGCAAAATAAATATAAAGGTAGTACATAATAGCCATTGCTACGGTCAATGCGGGTTCAAACAGTTTACTTACATAATACAGGCTCTCTCTCTCTCTGCTGCTCCTGGCCCCGTCCACCCCTGCCCTACCATAAATCAAACGCTTGTCTACTGTGCATCTCGAACTCGGCAGCTGGCTTCGTTTACGGGTGCTTGGTGGGTCTCTTTTATAAAAACGCATGAGACGTCATCGTTGGCAGCATGTGTGGGCAATGGTCTCAAGGAAGGAAAGAAATGTGCTGGCAATGGCTCAGAAACTTACTCGAGGTCGTGTGAACTCGTGTAAACCAACATACAATGCTTAGCTTCCAACACCTCAGCATCATCATCTACAGTATCTCTCCTCTTCACTGGTCGACAAACCGCTCAGTTGATTATTCAAAGGCGCAGTGTTGACACTTGTGTGCTACCACAAACACAGATGCGTAACACGTCACGATGCATCATACATACCCAGGCAGACTGTGAGACACACATCCAGAACTTGAAAGGTTTAGCCTCTTTGTCATATTGGACAAGGTAAGAAAAGGCTGCGGTGGTACAATTAATGCAATTTGCTTGACGCAATTCCTTGGACTGGAAAATCCAAGAATTCAAACTAGTGTTGCACCGTATCACGGCTATCATCCATGATCCATCCGTCATCCCAAATTCCAGTCTAGCCCAGGACGAACTGGGCCCACTCGCTCTCTTGGCATTTTAGAAAAAAACCATTCACCACCAAGAAAGATATGGGTAGTTAACCAACTCGTTACACAACACCAATCCGGCAAAAGAGACAATGTTTGTGTGCATTGAACCGAGAGCCGCCTTCGACCAGGCCGCTGCATGCCTGTGTTGGTGAAGCCCAACACGAAGTCGATTTCTGGCCATGTTGCCCTGCAATAGAAGTGCCTTGCCACTCGAAAAAGCCAGTCATGCCAAGTCCTAGGTCTCCTTTTATTCATCTGTTGCCATAAGGTGCCATATCTATTTGGACCCGGGAGGACAACCTGGAAACACGGAAAACTCGAAATACCATGCTGCATGTCATCATCGTCGGGGCCGGTATATCCGGACTGACTTGCGCTATTACGCTGGCCAAATACACGCACGTCCAAGTGACGGTTTTGGAACGAGCAGCTGTCATGGACAAGGTGAGCGAGCTGGTTGCAGATTCTTCCTCAACAGTCTATATCTCGGGACGAGCAAAAGTCCAGAACAGGCTCTACTTGATAGTAGCACAACGCGTTAACTCCATCACAGGCCGGAAACGGTATCCAAGTGCCGTGTAATGCTGCCCACGCGATGCGGTGTCTCGGCCTTTTGGATAAACTTCTTGTCAAAACGAACGGACCGGCAACGGCGTTTCTGAACCTCAAGTACGACGATGGCGAGATACTTTTACATAAAGATCTGACTCGGTGCGAGGAGCTCTACGGTGCACCGTGGCTGTACGTTTGCCTTGCCTTTTGAATATTCCGTCCATGAATATCATGTCGTGTTGGCTGGCGGCTTTTGGTCCGGCATTCTTTTTGCTCATGCCACTACGTGTAGGTTGATCCATCGAGCGGACTACATGACGGTGCTCCTCGACGAAGCCCGCAGAGTGGGAGTCCGGATCCGGCTCGGCTGCGATGTAGACAGCGTCGACTTGGACACGCCATCTGTCAAGCTTCAAAACGGACATGTCTACCAGGCTGATGTCGTAGTCGGTTGCGACGGTATGATCCGCCTGCTCTACACATTGCCCTCGCCCGTACTGACACGACGCAGGAATCAACTCCACCATCCGCTCCATCATGCACCCGTCGACACAGCCCGTCCCAACGGGCGAATACGCCTACCGCGCGCTCTTCACCCGCTCGCAACTCTCCTCCCCATCCTTCCGGCATCTCCTCTCCCCCGCCGGCATCTCCCGCTGCTGGATGGGGCCCCTCGCCAAACGCCGTCTTCTATCCGCTCCAGGAGGGCACCCTCTTCAACCTGGTCATCGCCATTGCCGACCCAAACTTCAACAACAACACCTGCGACGAGCAGGCCCTGCTTCCCTCTGTGCGAGCCTGGCTCTCCGGCTGGGACCCGACGCTGCTCGAGATGCTCGACGCGGCAAGCCACCTCGTCCGCTTCCCGCTCTACCAAGTCGCCAAGCTGCCGTTCTGGTCCAAGGGCTGCGTCACGCTCACGGGGGACGCCGCCCACGCCATGCCCCCTCACCTGGCGCAGGGCGCGGCAACAGGCGTCGAGGACGGCTTCATCCTGGGCACTCTGCTCGGCCGGTTGTCCCGGCACGTGTCGGGGCCGACGCGGCGCGCGCAGCTACGGACCGTGCTGCGTGCCTACGAGACGCTGCAGCACGACAGGACGGCGCAGATTGTTTCCGGGTCCCGATTCACGGGGATGCTGGACCACTTGCCGCAGGGCCCGGACCAGAGGGCCAGAGATGCCGAGTTTGCCATGTATGACCCCGAGAAGACGGTGAGCGCCATGCCGTGGATCGACGCGCGCACCAATAGGAAGTTGCTCGGGAGGAAGGTGGACGAGGTTGCCGAGGGCGAGGTTGCGCGGCTGCTTGCCGCGGGGGAATTCGCTGACCATGGAACGAAATTATAGTAGTCGGGTCACATAACGAGTCGTCTTGTTGTGTGGTTCAGTCGGTGAATCATGTGTGTGCCACTGACTGACGACGGGGAAAGATATAACATGGCGTACGACGGGGAATTAATTGCATCTTATTCAACATTTATATTACTACTCGCCCCCCGCCCCCCTTCTACTCTTCATCGTACAAGTCTATCTCATCGGAATGTAGGCGAGAAATATGTCGAACCTGCAGATACAACGTGATTAAGAACAAAGCCCATGCCCTCTATGCGCAATAACAAAAATAAATGAAAATGAAATCAAATGACATCCATCTGGAGGCGTGCTACCCAGGATGGGGGGAATATACGACAGATGTGTCTCGGTCTCTATTTTCCAAATGATGGTGATGCATCTCGAAATTCTATGCAAAAAGGAAAAAGTAGTCTGCGGCGCTACTATATTCTTTGTACGTGGGAATGTAGAAAATAATGTACTGTTGATAGGTGAAAAGAAATTCGGGCTGAAATCGAGCGTGTAATTTACTCCTTCTTCGCCTTCTTACCACCGAGCTTGTTCTTTGGTACACGAGCGAGCCAATACACAAACAGGGCGGCGCCTATGTTGAAAATGACAAAGACCCAGAGCAGACCAAAGTTGCGCCAGCGATCGCTGTAGCTGCTGCTGACGCCGGCGAGGAAAACATTGGTGTCGCTGATGGTGCAAAACTCGCAGGTCGATGTGGTGTTGGGGTTTGTGAGCTCGCCGCCAAAGACCTTGATGTAGTCCTCCATGTACTGCCAGCACGTCTGGTTGGAGGGAGGCTCGAAACTGAGCAGTTCGTTGGCTGCGCAGATTACTTTGGTGTTGGCTACGCCTGTAGATAACATGCCTGACACGAGGTATGTAAACGGTGAAACGCGGTCTATTCCTGAGAGTTAGCGTGTCTGTAGATAGTATTGAGTGAGACATGGCATAATGATGGGCGACTTACACATGAAGATCCAGAATCGTGGCAGGGTTTCCGGAGTGGCGAGGACACCGCAGAAAATCAAGCAAAGCGTAAACAGCAAATTGGCCAGATTACCACCAGCCTCGGCAGTCTCAAATCCGGCAACAATAAAGGTCGAAAAGGTACCAGTGAAGAGCATGAACATGAGCAGAAAGAGGAACATGAGGGCACCACGCTCGGCCACGGCATCCGTCGGAATGGCGTTGCGGTAAAGACCAATAGGGTAATACCAGCAGAAGTACATGATGACGGCCATCAACGAGTTCCAAGGAAGTTCGACAATGATTTGAGAAAGCATAAAGACCTTCCAAGAATAGACCTTGGATGGACGTTCACGAGCCTCGTACAAAGATCGTTGAATGATAAACTGGGGCATAGACTGCTGCACTATTTGACCAAATACGGTGAGGAGCTGGAAAATGGCAAACATCTGGTTCTGAAGGCCTTGTTTACTGTTAGGGGCCTTGAAGAAGATGAAGCCGATGAACAGGGCGACGAGAGTGCAAAGAGCAGTCTTGGCATAGATGTATACAGGTGTTCGCCAGTACTGTTGAAAGACCCGATAGATATTCTCCTTGAGCTGGACCATGAAAGGGGCGGCAAATTCGCGGTAGCTGCCTGGATCCTCTTCAATAGCGTTGACCGGGCTACTGCCCTGCTTCTCTGCCTTGATTGTTTCGAGTTCATTTTGAACAGATTTATACTCGGGGCTGTCCCGCCAGGTTTGAAACCAGTCAATGTCCGTGGTTGATCCAGGAGCGGCGCCAATGACTTCCAACATCCACTCCGCAGGGTTCGCTTCCTCGGGGCAAGGGTGTCCGCCGTTGCGTTCAAAGTAGCTCGTCATTGTCTTGGAGTTTTCGCCGATATCGCCAAAGTACACTGTCTTTCCACCCTTGGCCAAGAAGAGAAGTCGGTCAAATCGCTGGAACAGCATGGCTGAAGGCTGATGGATGGTGCAAAGAACAGCTTGACCAGCCTTGGTCAGCTTCTCCAGAAGATCAAGAATGGCCCATGAGGTTTGGGAATCCAGACCAGAAGTAGGTTCGTCGACGAAGAGTAACAGAGGAGGCTTGGCAGCAAGTTCGACGCCAATGGTAAGACGCTTACGCTGTTCAACGTTGAGACCTTCGCCTGGAACACCGACGACAGCATCGGCATACTCCGTCATATCCAGTAGCTTAATAACTTCCTCAACATAAGCCAGCTTTTCCTTCTTAGGGACGTGGGCCGGTTGACGAAGAAGAGCACTGAAGTTCAGTGCCTCGCGGACAGTAGTAGTCTGCAAGTGCAAATCTTGCTGCTGAACGTAGCCAGTCTTGCGCTGGAAGGACATATCGCGAGGCCGTCCATCCACGAGCATCTCTCCAGTAATAACACCCATGGAGGTTCTATCCGCTAAACAATCCAGAAGAGTAGTCTTACCGGCACCGGACACACCCATAAGCGCGGTTAGAGTACCGGGCTTGACCCATCCATCCACGTGGTCTAGAATTTTTCGAGTCTCGCTCTTGATCTTGACCTCGTAGCAAACATCATGCCACTGGAAAACGGACGTTTGCTGTTGGAGAATACCACCCTCCTTGCTCTGTCCACGGCTTCTCTCGGCAGTGACAATTGGGCCAATGTTGGCCATGGCAGCTTCTGGGTCGTTGTGTCGCTTCTCAGCTTCTGCAGCTGCAGCCGGCTTGTGTCCTCGACGATAAACTAGAACTTCACCCTTGGATTTCTTCTCGGAAACGAGCTCAGCAGCAACCATGTAGCAGATAAGGAAGAACACAGTGAAAGCTATGACGATGCCAAAATTGCGCCAGCGATGATTCCAATCATAGTCAAAGTTAGAGCTGGTGTAGGCGTCTCCGTTGACGTTTGGATTTCCAGCAACAGCGCCAACCTGAGAACAGATCTGGTTTTCGGGGCTCACATTGGCGTATTTGGTGAGAAACTGGGCGGCCCCAGCGAAAGGCGCCTTGGAGGTCGGCACATACTCCGTGCACTTGAACTCGCGATCATGGAATTCGTTGACCATAAGAGCCTCAAACGCATAGCCGAGAGGGTCGATGTAGCTCAACCAGCGGCACCATCCTAGCATGTACTGCTTTGGCAGGACAAATCCAGTGAAAATAACGAGGTCGAGAATGAGAATCGCCGCAGGTACCAGCGCCTGAAACAGGGTTCGGGAGGCAGAAGCAATCGTTCGGAATATCATAGACATGACCATGACCGTTGAGAAGCTTATTAGCAAGAAGAAAAAGAAGGGGCCAGGTTCTCGCCGTAGATTGGTCATGAAGTAGAGTGTTATGTTAAAAATGATTGAGTTTGCAATCTTGTACGGCATATCGCAAAGCATGGAAGCGATTGCTTCGGCCGAGGGGTGATAGAGCGCATAACGAGCGTGTTTCTCGACAATTGGCCGTTGTGCGTAAAGTGTAAGGATCTATACATTTTCAAGTCAGTTTATCATTTCATTTCATTTTGGGTTCATAGCGGAGAGTTAATGTTTTTTTTTTTCTGACCTCAAGAGCAGATGCAAAAGCATTCATCAGACATGCAAAGAAGAGCAAGGCGCCACGTTGGAAGAAACTGGACGAGGTATCATCCAGGTTGTAGAAAACACTGCCAATAATGAGAGCCATGATGAAATTTCCAATAAGAGCACCAACAGTTAAACTTGGATCGCCAACAAGGCGCTTCCAACCACGCCACAAACAGAGCTCGATCTGCTGGGCATAAGAGAGAGTAAAGGGTGACTTCTTGCGCTGACCTTTGGCTTGTTGTGCGCGCTTGGCGGCACGGAAAGCTACTGCGTCAGGGCCTCCCACGGGGTGGGCTTCCTTGTACTCTTCGATTTCCACCTGTAAAGCCCTGTATTCGGCGCTGTTCTTCCAGGCAGTAGCAAACTCATCCGGAGTGCGAGGTGCCTTGCCTTCAAATCCAGGACGGACAATGCGTTCTAGAGATGAGGTCATGGAGGTGAGGAAGTCGGGAGTAGTCTGACGAGCAGGGCATTCGAAGCCCAAGTTGATAAAGTATTGTTTTGCCTCATCGGCCCGCCCAAAGAAGATCTGTCGACCCTCATATAAGACAACAGCCTTGTCAAAAAAGTCATAGGCCGTCTGAGGCGCCTGGTAGATGGAGACACAAGCTGTGCTATTAAACAGCTCAGTTTGCAGACGGAGGGTGCGACAGAACTCGATAGCATTGGCGGAGTCAAGACCACGAGTCGAATTGTCCCAGCATTGCAGAGGAGCGCCAGATAGGGCAGCCTCGGAGATGGTCACACGCTTTCGCTCACCCCCAGATACACCACGGATAAACTCGTTACCGACACGAGTGTTCATGGTGTGCGATATGCCAAACATAGCCATAACAACATCGCGTAGATGGTTGGCGAAATGATTCTTGTTGAGTCCCTCGGGTAGATGTCGAGGTTGACGGGCCCGTGCGGCGAAGGTGAGGGTATCACCAACGGACAATTGGGGGAAGTGGACATCAACTTCTGCGGTGTAGATTGCCTCGCCGCGATGTCTGGTGTGCATTTCCTTGGCTGAGATGCCTACATCGCAATGGTTAGCCACAATAAGTCTTTCACTGGGGGTGTGCAAACAGGTTGGAAGGGTTATGCGATGTGGCTGGGCTGAGACGGCATCTTCCGATGCCATGTTCCACATATGGAACACCCCGGCCCTTATTCCCACGTTATTTCTGGGCGGGTGCAACACGGTCGCAGATCTGATCCGTGGGTTTGGCCAGCACAGACGGCAAATTCCGCGGTGCATTTAATCAACCCCAGTCACTGTCCCGATTTGTATATTTGTACATTTCCGTGCAAGGCCAATTGGCTTTTCTGCTTTGATTTGTTTTGCTTTGCTTTGCTTTGCTTACCTTGATAATTGAAATAAGACCCGTCTCCAACAAAGATGCCGTTCATCTCACCAGCGATAGTCTTGAGAAAGGTAGAGCAGCCAGATCCTGGGGGTCCCAGGACCACGAGCATCTCTCCCTTGCGAACCAAGCC